TCCTAATCACTACGAAGAAAGTCCACGAACTTACGCTAGTTGGTCATAAATGATAATTAAAATAAATTTCAATTAAATTATAACCTCGGGATTGATGCGAGTGAGAATGATATCCCTTTCTTGCAATCTAATGACAGGACGAACAACTTTCCCATGGCTATCAGACAATTGTGGGACCTCCTCCCATTGAACCTTGAAAATCTTGCCATTATCGACAACGCAGTCATTTTCTACGTACTGCTTCAATAGCTTACGGTCGTCCATGTAACGTTTAAGTTCAGTTGACATCCCTGAAATTCGCAGGGGATCAGTCTCACAGGCCAGCCAACCTCGCAGAGTCTCAATTCTATCTTCAAATGATTTCATGGTGTTAGCAACAATAAGGGTTTCGTCCAAATCAAACACAATCGCAAGGCACCGCAGGTTTAGCATCCTTAAGCATGCAGCGTATAGACCCGCAGGAACAGAGTAGCACCAGAAGCACGGGAACTTTTTCCTCCTACTGGGCATGGCCACCAAGTGAACTTCTTCATCCCCAACCAATGTCACTGCCGTCTGTGTTCCCAAATCAAAAAGAACAAGTGCATGCCAAAAATTAGAAACTCAGCTGAACAGGTTTTCTTCAAGGCAATAGTTTAAAAAGAACCAGTTCATGTCTGAGATGCCGAGAGTCAAAATTAAGTTTCAGTTTATAAACTTTTTTTCCCATAAACAATCAAACTACACCATTGAAAGAAAGGCCAAAGATTGAAAATAAAAATAAAAAGAAGATAAAATTAAATGCATTTTGGACGAGACCTGCAATTCATAAAAGCAAGAAGCATGAAGATTGATCAAATCGGGCTGTTCAACAGGTAGTGATGACTCGAGCTTGCATCGAACTGAGAATGCAGAAATAGTTTGGAGAACTGAAAGAGGATGACATCGCTCACTCCTCGGCGATAAGTGGTGGATGCGTATCTCGTTTGGGAGGTGGAAATTCTGGTCTGAAACAGGGATAACATCCAATTCTCCCAATCTCAATTCACCGAGAAAAAACACAGATTTGAACCCCAATCGACTCATCAAAACTAATTTGCAAGAATCAAAACAATTTTCAGTTGCTTCTAACCAGGCTTCTTTCCTTGCTCCCTCGCTCCCTCCCTCGACGTTCAGTTTTAAACGACCGTGCTCGCTCCGCATTTATAGGCAATAAGGGAATCACCACGTGGATTTCATGAAATTACCAAAGTGCCCGTCTGTGGCACGCGCGAAGCCCCCCTCTCCGAGAGAAGGGTACCATCAATAAGCGGGAACGATCTTCGTACACGTGGCACATCTTGCACCGTTTCTTAATTGAAATATTACAGGATATTCAGGTCCCACCCACACTTGCGTCTCAGTTTGAACAAAGTCTACATGATCATGTTTTTTCCGCAGCGGCTGTTTGCTTCACTCCCAAAAATATGTATTTTTATACAAATTGAGGTGAATTTTTTTTTATATGCTCACTTCGTAAATATCATAAAATTACCTTTAAAATTATGGGTTAGTTTTAGCCCTAACACACTATATATTGAGAGTTATCGATAAGAGATCAGATTCCATATCTGACCATCATATAATTAAATTAATTTATTTAGCATACAACTAACATAGGACACAAAATATATATAACAATACATTACTTATAGGTGGCCCAAAAGAATACATATAAATCATTTGACATGTGTTAAACAATGTATGACCATAGAATCCACAATAAAACAAAAAAGACATGTTTAAAAATGTGTTCAGATGATGAAAACACCAAGGAAAAAAAAAAGATTGGTGACAAGTGATACACAATAAAAAATATAAAGCTTGCTTAGGTGGTGAAATTGCGGGGGGAAATATGTTAAAAATAAATTAACAATGAGCTGATCAAATCCATATGCCCAACCAAAAACTCAAATCAGCTTGGTATTTATATGTGGGCTGCTTGTTTTTTTTTTTGAATGAGATGTGGGCTGCTTGTTTATGCTGCAACCCAGTCCAACGAGGACTTATTTTAGTGGTCTGGGCCGATCATGCAGGCCCAATAGGTTAATACACCAGTGAGCATCATCTAATATCCTAGTGTAGTAACTAACATGGGTTCAGTCTAGCAGAAGGAACTAGTCACTCATAACGTGACGAACCAAGGTTCGAATCTCTACTGAAAAAGGTACTCATATTTAGTACCTGACAGTGTTTTGAATTGGATTGTCTTCAATAGAAAACATCTATACTTTAGCCAAAAAAAAAAAAATAATAATATCCTAGTCTAGTTTAATTACGAATTGGGGTTATTGTAGTTTACCTTCCCCTCCGGGAGGAAGGTTAATTTGCAAAAAAAAAATTTATAACTTGCCCTTTTTTAAAAAGAAGCCACGTGTCATGCTTTCCGGAACCAAAGTGGTATCAGGTACACTCGGCTTCACAGTAGTAATTTATAGCGTGTCACTCTATTAGCCGCTTATTGTACGATATTTTACTTGGTTGCCGTCTATTGACCATGGAAAATGGGTGGGGTCGGTTTGGAACCTTAGCAGACTTGGCCGCTAGATCCTCGTGGACCCTTAAACTCGGATTGTAACGCCATCTCACCAGATTCTTCTCCAAGGGCGAGTCAATCATTTTGCTTGTACGGTCCGCATCGTTAGTCTGGCCATTCCATGTCATCCTTTGGCAGTCCCAACCGGGCGTTCGACGGCGACGGCCTTGGCGTCGACGGCTATGATGTTCGGCTCCAATCTCAGCGCTTTGAAACTCTCTCCAACTTCGATGCTGACTCAGTGAAGGATTCGGCCGGCGACTCGTCTCCGGTTTTCGGAAGCCATCAGTCATACAGTGAAGGAGATTATGTGTTTTCGTCTCAGCCGGTTCCGGAGACTCCATCACCGTCGTCGATACGCTCTAACGCGAGGGAAGACACTGCGTTCTCGCCGGAGCATGATGGGAAGGGTCTTGAGGGAGAATATGGTGCCACCGGTGGTCCGGTCTTGCCACCTCCGGTGGATTTGGAACCAGAAGAAGGCTTTGCTCTAAGGGAATGGCGAAGGTAAACTCTACTGGCCATAATCGCTGTTTTCTGCTTTTCGGTTTTCTTCAAGGTTTTAAGTTTATAGAATGTTAGGTTTAATTGAATTGCTGCCTGTCTGCGTCTGAAGTTTTTGCATATGTTGATGATGATCATGAATGTGTGATTGAGCAGACAGAACGCTATTCAACTGGAAGAGAAGGAGAAGAAGGAGAAAGAGATGCGGAGACAGATTATAGAAGAAGCAGAGGCGTACAAAATTGAGTTTTACAGGAAGCGCGAGCTGAATGTCGAGAATAAGAAAGCGTCCAATAGGGAAAAAGAGAAGGTAAATCAATTTGTGATGTTTTCTATGTATAAGACCAAGTTCTCTGTTTTCCTCCCTGTTGCTGTTAAGGTTGATATTTATAATAGTTCTTGCAACATTTCTGTATCATGTTCTACCCCATCTTAGCTTGTAAATTGTAATAATAGAGGGCGAGGAATTGAATGGAATCTTCTTTTCAGATAGAAGTATTCAGAGTTCACGTGGGAGAGGTCTTATAAAGACGACATAGAAGACCCTATTTATAAATTTATAAATTATAGTGATAAATTGCTCTTTTTGTCCATTCCAATATTCCATTACGGAATTCCAACCGGAATTACGAACAGGACGAGAGTAATAGAGACAGATTTGTTTCCCTCCTTATTTGCGCTGGAACTTTTGCAGTTGAAGGTCCCATAGCGGTTAAGAGGGGCTTCTTGGCCAGAATGGGGCGAATTAGGTGGTTACGGAGTATGGTAGATTACAAATTAGGCTGTAGAACTCTTGGTAGACTAGATTGTGTGCAGGAAAATAGGATGTTGCGTTTAAATTTTTAATTTTTGAGTATGAACATAAATCTTCTGGTAAAAAAAAAAAAAAAGGAATATGAACGTAAATCCAAGATGGTCTTACTTTTAGGTTTTGGTCTCGTTAATAATAATTATGTTCTGGTATAATCAGCTTGGATAAGATTGAGACTTCACAAATATGCACACTTTTTAAGTTCATCATGTTAAATTTTCAGTTTTATGATGGCATCTTTGTATCACGGAACGGTCTTGTGCAGCCATAGCTGCTGTCAATGATTGTAAAGTTTCCCGTCCCCTAATAAGAGGTCACTTAGCATATTTCTTTTGAATGTTATACCAGTGCCTGAAATTATGTACTGGATTTAATCTAGCAGTTATTTTTGGAAAGCCACAAGAAGTTTCAGGCAGAAGCTGAGAAAAACTATTGGAAAGCAATCGGTGAACTTATTCCCAATGAAGTGCCGACAATAGAGAAAAGAGGCAAAAAAGATAAAGAGAAGAAGCCTTCCATTGTTGTAATCCAGGGGCCGAAGCCTGGGAAGCCAACTGACCTTTCAAGAATGCGACATATACTGCTAAAGCTCAAGCATAATCCTCCTCTTCATATGAAGCCTAAGCCACCTCCATCATCTGAACCAAAAAAGGATGCTAATACCGGGCCCACTGACGGGGTTAGCACAAGTACTTCTACCCCCAAGCCACCGGCGGTGGCAACTCAGGAGCCGGTTGCTGCAGCTTGAAGGGCCGCTATTTTCTCCTTTTCGATGTGAAAACCAGCTTCTGTGGACATCATAACTTAGTTGCATGGTGTTATTATATGTACAAAGTATCTTTACTTTCAAGTTGCAGGTTGCTTGATGTAGCTTTATGCAGCCCATTGTTAGAAAATAGTTTTAGGCTGTGATCGGTTGCTGTGGCCTGCAAACAGGCATATTATTAATGCCGCTGTTTTGGCGTTGGTTGAAATTGGGATAGTGTCTTGATAAGGAGTTAAACTCGGAATCATCTTGTTTATTTGCGACCCAGATTATGCTAAACCTATTTATGGGCTTGACGTAGCATGGTATGGTTTACCGGTGGTCTGCACACAGGTCAATTAAGGCTATCATTGGTCATTAGCGTGCAAATGAATTGAATATTATGTATTATACAAAAAGTGTATATGTACACAGGCCAACTGGAAATTGTACTCCTTATTCGTTTCCCATGCTCTCATCGACCCCTTCGGATTGAAAGAACTCTGGTGTACTAATACAAATGATCCTATGAGCAGGAAAAAATAAAGGAGAGTAATAAAGTAAAATATTTACAGGCTACATGCAATGGTGCCCACCAAACATCCTTCAATATGAAGCAAACAATCAATCACCTAGGAAGAATCTGTGTATCCAAATCAGCACCACTATAATGGCTTGATGTCATGTAGGGATTTTTGGAACTTCTGTACTTGTTTATTTGAGAAGACGATGTCCCATTTAACGAATAATTGCCATACTCTTTCGAGCTATTCCACCTATAAACTCCAGGTTCGGTCAGTGCCTTCTCATTCAAATGCACATCCTTGGTGAGCATTTTTATTACTTGCTTCATGGTGGGCCTGTGTTGTGCGGATGCTTGGGTACAGAACAGAGCAACCTTAATGAAACGCAACACCTGCGTCTTATCGTATGCAGTTAGTTCGGGATCTACAATATCCAGAAGCCTGCCTTCTTCTCTCAGCTTCCAAGCCTGCTCATAAAAGCATATTCGAGTGAGCAGACACAGATATATAGTTGCTTCCAATCTGACTAGAATAATATTGCAGCTTTTCATTGCATTCACAGTCATATGTTTCTTTATTACAACAACGACCTCAGTAAATTATTTATTAAAAGATCTTGATTAATGACTTCTTGAAGTGTCCTTCTTGGTCTCTTTCCACATCTTTTCACAGGGCTAAAGATTATCTACCCACCTCTCCTCAATGGCACCCCCTTTCTTCGCACATTATCAAATCATTTTAATCGATTTTCTGCTATTTTTTCCCACATGGATGCCACATCGACTTACCCTCTTGTATGATCAGTCATATGTTCTTTTTTACCAAAGGGGAAAAAAAAAATCATTTCTCTCGCCTCAATCATATGCTTTTGAAGTCCATTGTGTAAAAGAAGCCTCAAAATTTAAAGGGAAAATTTCACTGTAGGACCGCAGAAGACAATTAATTTCAAAGAGCCCCCAAAACTTTCTGAAACTTCACTGCAGGACCAAGGGGGCAAACTGATATTAATTCCACAAAGAAAATGACGCTATTGCCCCTCATAATACTTATTGCAGGGTGACATGTAAATGGACTAATTTCAGTTGTAAATAAAGGTATATATGTTGCAAATTGACTAGTCTCATTTGCAAATGAGCTCTCTCACACTTATTCACTTACAGGCACCTTTTTCAGGTGAATGAGATGATATGTAAATGGACTAATTCTAATTGTAAATAAATGTATGTATGTTGCAAATTGACTAATTCCACTTGCAAATGGACGCTCCCACACTTGTTCACTCACGGAGACCTTTTTCAGGTGAAGGAAGTGACATGTAAATGGACTAATTCCAGTTGTAAATAAATATATGTATGTTGCAAATTGTCTAGTCCCACTTGCAAATGGGCTGTCCCACACTTGTTCACCCAGACACATTCTTCAGGTGAAGAAGGTAATATGTAAATGGACTAATTTTAATTGTAAATATATCTATGCATGTTGTAAATTATCTAACCTCACTTGCAAATGGGTTCTCCCATACTTGTTCACATGAGGGGCAATAGGGTCATTTTCTTTGTGGAATTAATATCAGTTTGCCCCCTTGGTCCTGCAGTGAAATTTCAGAAAGTTTTGGGGGTTTTTTGAAATTAATTATCTTCTGCGGTCCTACAGTGAAATTTCCCCAAATTTAAATCTCCAACGGTAATAGATGTCCTATCAGATTAACAAAGTCTTATCTAACAAGTTCTTTTAAACTCAATGGCAAACCAAAGAGGGAACAGCACATATCTTCCAAAAGAGCACCAATGACAACAGTTTACAGTCCCTTTTGGTTGGAAAGCAATGTAATCAAAAGACATAAACACATCATTCCTCAAATTTTACTACATCTTCACAAGGTATGAGTTTTGACATTGAGCGTTCAGTATCTAAAATCAAAATTGCTGCTCTTTAACAGTTGAGCAGACATGCTGACAACGGCTTATTTTAGTCATTGATATCAGTAATATAGCAGTCATATTGACAGTTAGATACAGCAGAGTCACTTTGACATTCATATATTAACAATCTCCCCAATATATTTGAAGTCCGAGAGACATAAAGTGATGCTAAATCCAGCTGAGGAACCAGTAGATGAGTCAGATATCAGATCAAGCTTCTTGTTCTTGAAGACTAAAAAGCAATGAAATGGGAAAAAACTGAATAGGCATTTGTTGTAACATTGCATGCACAGAAAAAAGCAATATTGTTTCCAGAACCCCCCCCCAAAAAAAAATTTTTTTTTTTTCAAGAGCTGTCTTTTAAAGTAGTTGGCAATCCAGCATGGTTCTAGGCTGTCAAGATCTAGTAAATCTTAAAATCTTGTGATCTCAATCCTAGGGGAATAAAAATATAAATCTTCTTCAAATTAATAGGATATTAAGTTAAATCTCATGAAATTATGGGCGTAAAATTCTATATATATAATTTGCTTATGCAAGTTACAGGTAACTCGGGCAGCATAACACTCATTTGTGATAGCTGACTCGAGTACATGTATAATTTATACTCATTTAATTATATTTCATTTTCATTTCATTGCTTTGATCTTTTAAATCCATGATGGATCCTAGCAAAGATCTTCATCTTGACAACCTTGGAAAACCTAGCAAAACTTCATATAGACTGTGACTTTATTTCTCTTATTATGTCTGTGTCTCTGATCATTAGAAAAGCTATGACAAAATCCTAGCATGTGTTAGCTAATTGATATTTGAGTTTAGAAAGATACCCATTCCACTAGAACCAAGAGATTATCTCCAAATGCAGCTTTACTGCTACTTTTACCACTGATTATTTCAAGCATGAGAATCCCGAAACTGTACACATCAGCCTTCTTTGTAAGTTGTCCTAGAAGTGCATATTCTGGTGCTAGATATCCCCTGCAAATAACGGAGAAAAAAGGGTAAACATGGTTCATATGTTGAGACCAAATCTAGTTAACTGCCAAGAACCCATTCTGTCACAATATTGACGAATTTTTAGTACTAGGGCAAGGCTGAAGGCAGTCCGTAATCTTTGGTCTTTCAACTTCACAGGTGCTAATTTAGCCTCAAGGAGGCTATAAATAGTTAATTGAAATCAGAAACTTCTTTTGTTTCTCCATTATCCTTCTATCCTTCACTTACTCAAACATTGCATTTCAACAAATATTAACACGTAATAATTTACGTGGTAATAATATGCGATGAAAAACTAAATGACTCGTCAAAAAGAAAGTAACAATCGAAATAGCAAATACAAGTGCATGCCAAGAACACCAATCCAATGGCCACCTCATGCCACATGAGTGAGAGGAATAAATTTCAAGGCAGTATAGGTCTTCGTATTGTCCAGAGAAAATTCACAAGAAACACCAAATTTTATGAGCCCCTTGTATTTTTTTTTCAATTAACAATATATAATTATATATCATTAGATGCATATTCGAATGGGTTTACAGAAGATTTAAACAAGTAAGAAGAAACAGGCTTTCTTAAGAAATTCAAAAGGCGCAACTTAGGCAACAGTCATATAGAACGATATTCACAATGTAAATTGTGCATTATTACTTACACCGTTCCTGCCACTCGAGTACTAACATGAGTGACATTGTCAGGAAAAAGCTTTGCGAGGCCAAAATCCCCTATTTTAGGATTAAAGTTCCCATCAAGCAGTATGTTGCTAGCCTTGATATCTCTGTGAACAATGCTTGGTTGAGCCTCTTCATGAAGAAATTCAAGACCATAAGCTGTACCACAGCAGATAGCAGCCCTCTTTGGCCAATCCAGAACAACACATCTGCTCTTGGAACCTATTAAAGGTTTGATGTTTATTAGAGCATCCCAATTCATGGAAAAGCCTACATTGAGCTTTTAATCAATAGGCTTCATCCCTCCAACTCAGAGAGAGAGAGAGAGAGAGTTAATGTTAAGCTTGAAAGAATGACAGATTATATCACATTTTGACTATATTCTGTGCTCCGAAAGCCAGAAGTAACCAATACAAAGGAAAATGGAAAAGCGAATCTGATTCAAACAGGTAAGTTCCACTTTTGGAAGTACTAAAAATTTCGATACCATGTAAACAAACTAGTTTCCAAAATCAAAAGGTTGAATATCTATCCAGTTCAGACAAGACTCACTTCCATATGCTTAATTGGATTGTTCCGGTACTTACGAAGCAAAGAACTTGCAAGGCTATTGTTTTCCAAAAACTCATACACCAACAGCCGATGGTGGCCCTCAACACAGCAGCCAATAAGTTGCACAAGGTTTGGATGCTGTATCTTTGATATAATTTCAGTTTCTGTCATAAATTCCTTTGTTCCTTGTTTAGACTCTACAGACAGAGACTTGATAGCAACTTGAGTACCATCTCTTAATACACCCTGAAAATATCAATGAGAAGGAAACCAAAAAAAAAAAATTACTCAAACTAACAAGGGAATATAGTGATACAGTGTACACCACGTTTGAAAGCCAACATAGGCGTTAATACAAGGACAAGAATATCTCCCAATAGTAATCTATCCTACCTTGTAGACAACTCCATAACCTCCTCCACCAATTCTGGTAGATGGATGAAAATCTCCTGTGGCTGATCGCATTGAATTGTAACTAAAAGTTTTAGTTGCAATCACTGTCATCCACAAAGCCCAAAAAACACATAAAAAATTGCAGAAGGCTGAATTTTTGAAATAGGGAACATCAATGAAGAAAGGCATAAATGTATTTGTAGGTAGAACACTATCCAAGTAACAAATGTATCAGTAGACATTAGACGAAGTCAAGTATCAACGGGCACAGAGATGCCTGCATAGCTCCCACTCTAATTCGCGGACTGATTGAATGAGAGACAATATAAATATAATGATAGCAAAGAAGGAGTAAACCCAAATGGCCTAGAGGGTGAGTTAGGCATCTTTACTAGCATATCAGTATTAATGTTACATTTTGAATAGGATATTGAATTTGATTACCTCCCACCAAATTACTGAATTAAGTTATTCAAGAGAGTTAGTAGCAATGTATTAAACGAACTTACCTTAATGTCCTCTTGCATAGTTGAGTTTTTTATTGTACAATAGTAGCAAACACATTATTTAATGTCACGGCATAATCTAAACTCTAATCCTCTTCAATCATGCATTTGCGAAGAAAGTACTCCCTCCGTTCCTTATTATAAGAGACGAATAACCGAATTACGTTGATCAAAAAAACAGTTAAAATTAGTTAAGAACAATTAATATGTAAAAAGTATAATTTTTTTTCCAAAAATACCCTCATTAATAAGGAGAGAGAACATGAGAGAGAACAATGGTAATTTATTAAAAGAAAGAGAAGTGAAAAGGAGAGAGAGTGTGAGTTTGAGACAATAAATATGGGTAAAATAGGAAATCAACACAAAAAAGTAGAGACAACTTTTAAGTCTCTTATATATAGGAACATGACATAAGCACTAAATGTCTCTTATAATAAGGAACGGAGGGAGTAACAAAAAGAAGTGAGACGGTGTATAATCTACTTTCTATCTTTATACCCATTTCCTTTTTCCTTTTTATTTTTCTCCAACTGCATTATATGCGTCAATTTGTGAATATAGAAGATCTGGATTCTTCTAATTTCCAAAAGGCAGGAAAAAAAATCGAACAACTCATTTACATCGAATAAGTTTTCCTACGTGTCTGTAGCATCATTCAAGTAAACGAAGTTAATTACATAGTTTAAGTTAGCTCCAATAACATCTGAGTTTCCATCTGTACCAAAAATCCGTCAATTAAACGCAGGAATTCTATTCATTGTCCCATCCGGGTAGTGAGATGTGATAGAAAGAGATTATAGAATCATATTCAACTAAAGGAATTCACAATTTTACAAACAAAGTGATCGAATACATTTCGCTGCTACTCGATAGATAATCTTTGACAGTAGCAAAATTTATTTGCATCAGAAACACAGATGACAGATGTATTGTATCATCATGCAAGAAAGAGGAACTAAAATCATCAAAATTACAGGATCACTTGTTGACTCAGACAATTTATCATCAGACAGATCAAAACCTTCACGATTGTCCGTACCTTGTTCATCTGACTGGCCAGCAGCTTCATTCTTCCCTTTACAACAATTCAAGGCACCGAAGCAATTGCCAACCATAGCTATATACATCCAAATTGTAATCCCTGTACAGCCACTAAATCCTCTAACAACTTTTGTTCGTCAAATTTAACACATTCAACTACCACGATGATGGGAAAAGAAGAGAAGAGTCCAATTCAAAGTGAAAAGAGCATGATCTTCCCAACATTGATGAATGATCGTAAAACCTCAAACTCTACGGTAAATCTTCGAAAGCTGGGGGTATAAAACACAGGGAAATCACGAAAGGTATGGTTTTTCCCATCAAACAGAAGAAAGTTACGAAACCCTTGATAATTTAACTGAGATAGAAGAACCAGATGATTGGAAGAACCGCCTGAGTCCACATATATATGGGCCACAAAAATGGAAAACGAAGCTGGCAAGTCAACCGGTCAAGGAAGTTAGTAATGTCTCAAAAAGAAGAGGTCATCAGGCAAAAGAGGACTCGGTAAGGAAAGGCAAACTGTGAAAGCGACTGAACTACTGAAGTTTTCTTTTCTCTTTGCTCGCCGTTGTGAGTGTAGGACAGAAAGGGAAAAAACATCACTTGTTTACATCCCATCCCGATGAGAAGAGCAGACATTTTCTTACATGGAAACCACACCAAGACAAAATCATTCAGAGAGAGATTGCGTTGACTCTGGATAATCTTTCTTTTGTCGGCTTTACCCAAAAAACAATGCAATGATAATATATTATCTTTAGTGCTTAATATACGAACTCGATTAATTTTTATTTTAATTTTAAATATAAAAATATAATCTTTGTTTTTTATATTTATATATTTTTTAAGATAGTTTCTATAATAATAGTAATTTTAATCAATATATTTGATTAGCAATGGTATTTTAAAAAAGATAATACCTATTTATTATAAATAACAAATTTAACTAATTTTTTTAATTTACTCAAATTAATCAACTAGTTTTTATATTAAATATGGAGATGGTATAATATAATTAAATAAAATCACTAATATCCTATTCAATGCAGCAAGATGGAAGAGAAAGGAAAAACATAATTCTCTCATTACACATATCATCCCTTGTTTTAGGACATTCATCACTCAATCCTCTTTTAAGTAGTGGGGAAGAGGGATGAAGATTCAATTATAAACATAAGTGGGAAAAATAGCGTTCATGATCCCGCTTATTACGGGACAAATTTAACACGACAATGTCAACTTTTTTTCTTCCAAGTGTGTGTATATATATATACTACTTCCAGTTTTAATTATAAGAGCTAGTTGACTAATTTGATGATATTAAGGAAAAAAGTTAAGTTAGTTATTTATAATAAATATGTGGTGGCTTTCCTAAAATATCCTTATTAATTAAGTGTATTGACTAAAACTACTATTATTAGAAAGACTATTTTAGAAAAAAATACATAAATATAAGAGACAAAGTAAATTGAGGTCTTATATTTAAAATAAAAATAAAAATCAAACAAAATTTTATATTAAAAACCGGAAGTAATATTTTGTTAGCAATCCTATTTGACACGTTCTCGAATACTAGATACGAATACTTTTTCCAGTAACAATTCAAAACTTGATTCGTCAAATGCAATCTTAATGGTAACTACTCTATTAATTAAACTAGAAGGTTAAAAAAAATTGTAATGGTAAGATATTTTTGTGCGTAAGAGACAACATTTTCTCACATGTCCAGGTGACGTTAGGCTTCATGGTTACGTCAGGCAGAGAGAGGGGCTTCTGTACTCATGAACCTCATGTAATAAGTTACTCGTCCGGTCCTTAATATAGGACCTAATTATTGAGTTATTTTTTATCTTAAATATAAAACTCATTTCTCATATTTATCAATTTTACTAAATTACCCTTATAGATACTCCTCAACCATAATCAAGTAGAAGAGGGAGAAGGGTATTAAGAAAGATGATTATGGTATTTTAAGAAAAAACATATCACATTTTTTATAATTAACTAACTACTTAACTTCCTTAATCTAATCAAATTAGTTAAATGGGTCTTATATTAAGGACCAGAGGAGTAGTTAATTAAAACAGAAGCAGTCGAATTCCGGAGCCTGATTATTTACTACCCTAGTCCTTAATATAAGACCTTGTTTGACTTTTATTTGATCCTAAATATAAGATCCCAACCCACTTTGTCTCTAATATTTATGTATTTTTTTTCAAAATAGTCCTTGTAACAATAGTAGTTTTAACCAATACACTTAATTAGCAAAGATATCTTAGAAAAGACAATACCTATTTATGACAAATAACTAACTTAACTTCTTTTTTTAATCTCCTCAAATTAGTCAATTGGCTCTTATAATTAGGACCGAAGATAGTATTTCTATTCTTAACTGGTTTCATCTTCTTTTATCTCATGCACGAATATGACCACTTGAATTCAAAAAGGCCAAATAATGCCCACCATATTTGAAAAGAATAAAAAAAAATGGCCTGATAATATATGTAATTCCCATTACATTACACGGGCAGCTAAATATGTTATCGTTTTTTTTTATACTATTTGTTGCAGTGTAAAGTAATGCCCATAGCTCATATATAAATTAACTGCAAATCTTTCTGGCTAAAACAACTTGAAATTTATATATGAATGCATATTTGAAGCTAAAATGTAAGATATCATTTTGCACACTCCACGTACAAGAGAGACAGGCATGTATTTATAGATCCGTGGTGGACGTGTCCATAGAAAAACTAAAGGTTAATATAATCTTTAATCATTTAAATTTATTTTTATTTAGTTTTATTCCTTTAAATTTTAAATTATAGTTTTAGTTCCTTTCAGGTTTTATTAAATTATAAAAACTGATATTTTAAATTAAAAAAAATTTGAGAGATCAAAATTTAAAACCTATAGTTTAAAACTTAAAAAACTAAAACCAAAATGAAAACAAATTTGAGAATCCAAAAATATTATTAACTCAAAAAATAAAGTAGCAAATTTTTATTTCCCAAACATCAAATCACATTTTTTTTACGCTTAATTCACTCCAGAGAGTGTGGCATTTTAGAGTTATTAATAAGTTCGACTGTGAATTTAAAAATTATCATCTTTTAAAAAATTCTCATGAAAAATCCAAGAAAATATATGTGTTTTACAATACATTATACATATAATCTTAGATAATTGTTTAAAGAATGTGACTACTTGAAAAGAATTGAAAAGAAAAAAATTGTTAAAAATTTAAAGAAGAAAGAAAGAAAAAGAAGCGTGTAATTTGTTCAGAATTAAGGTAAATGGGAATTGTTAAAAAAATAATTAAAAGAAAAAATACAATGACACAAGGCTTGAAGAAAATTTAATTGATATTATTTATAAATAAGTCACTTCCTATTAACTTATTAAATGCATGATATATATATATATTTTAGTTTAATATATAAAGCAAATTATAATAATCGTTTGTAAAGTTCAGCCACTCCTCAATTGACAATCCTCGTTTGGCTAAAGAGAAAAATTAATATGCGGATATGCCATAGAACTGAAAGTTGAGAAATTCTTACAAATATCATATAATATACAAAGTCAATCATAGATAAATATATTAACTAAATATAGAATATAGAATAAATACCAAAATAAAAAAATATAAAACACGTAATCATGTCAACCACATCTTTTATAATCTATCGCATTTATTTAGACTGACTTGTTTCAGTCATCTTTGTTCGACCAATAACATTTAACAGGTTGTTTGATATTGAAGACTAACTACCAAACTCCATGGATATGCGTTAGAAATTTTAATGTTAAGAAAACAAGACAATTGCATTGTGTTTTTCTTTTCTTTCCTCTTTTTTTTTTTTTTTTTGGGTGATAATTGCATTGTGCTGTTTTTGTATTAGAACTAGCACCAGAATAAAATGCTTTCCAAAATAAAAATGAGAACTAATTAATGGTGAAATCATCTCTGAAACAAAAGAGTATCTATTAAAATATGTTTTGGATGCAAATTCGCATATAAAATAGAATCATTCCGCAGAAGCAGTTTGAATAACATTGAAGGAGCTCTTCAATTAATAGCAGCCAATTTTCAGTACTAATAGTCCTAAGGCCATAAGCATGCATATGTGATAGTATATGCATAGAGCATTAGAACAATAGAGACAGTATACGCAGTTTGAGACGCACAGATTCCAGTACAAAATAAACTACAAGAAGACAGTGACACAACTAAAGATATTGTGTCAAGCTGCAAGAGTTTCATATCATCTCTGATGAGTGAGTCAGAAATAACACGAACCCATCTTTGAAGTATCAGTGCTTCATCGGCATTTGAATCTCTCTCTATCTGCTAGCTTTACTACCATATACAACTGGACTTGTGGTTCCATCTATGGATCACCTGCTGTGATGACTGACAGGCGAAGAGTTTCCCCTATCACTTGCCACATCATTTTCTTCATCTCACTCCATCATAAGAGATGGAATTGAAGTTTACACTTGGTTCAGAACTGGCAGTGCTGCTAGTGGCAAGAGGAGAATCAGAAACATTCATTGTCTTGCTATTTGATGAACCAGTTGATCTCACACTGTACATAGAGGAAGCTGGAATGTTTGTCACAAGTGGCTTCAGGCTCCCCTTAATGCTTCGCCTAATGTCCTGTACAAGATAACCGAAGAAAACTTGTAAAGTTGCCTGATATGAAATAGGAACAGCTTTCAGTGATCTTTGTTTGCTTCATTGAACAAACTTCTTAGAAAAACAACCGGAAAACAGCATATTCACTGAAGAGACTTGGATATTGGATAAAGTATAGGCCAAATGATTACAAACATAAACCTTCGCTGTGGCATAATTAAAAATGCAGCTTGTGGACTGCGCTTAGAGTGAAGCATATCAACGACTTGTTTTTTTCAGAAGGAATCCATAAAACGTCACAAGTCTAATAAAAAAAAAAATGATAGCAGAAACCTCGAACTGCATCTAAATATATGAAAATATAGACATAATATTATTTCTACGAATCATTACCATATAAAGAACAGAAATAAAATCAAGCAATCGGTATTTACTTCCTAGCTGTGTAAACCTATTGATTATTTGCATTATATTTTTTGGCCATGTTATGCTAAACAGTTTAAGCTCCAACATTCTTGTAGTTCAGCTCAGATAACGTATAAATAATGGAATATAGAAACATACCATATGCCTCATTGCCATATCTAAGGACTTCTTAGAAAGTGTTCTTCCGAATCCTGAGCTTTCAGACAATGAAGACTTGCCGGAACTACTATGAGCAGAATGACGATCTTCATGCTTTGGTGGTCCCAATTTTCTCATGTTTACAACTCTTTCAACCATTTTAGTCCCGACTACGACTGGGCTATCATTATCACCATCAATAAAACGAGATCTATTCAGAGCTTGAGTCGAACTATGATTACTTTGAGCAACACCTGCTGAAGC